ATATATTAATTACCTTATTAGTTACTTTACTATTAATATTTACTAAATTTAAGTACCTTAACTTAATTAGGTAATAATAACTTAAAATATTACGTTTAATAAGTTTATATTCTATAATTTACGCGTTAAAAGCTTAAAAGAGCTTTTAATAAAAGAGTTAACTACTTAAGTTAGGTTTATTTAAATTAATAATAAGCTAAATAAAAAGGTTAACTTAATATTAACTTTTAACGAAGAACCTACTAAAATAAGCTTTAATACGCTTATAAGCTTAAAGGTAAAAGCTTAACCTAGTACTTAAAATAAAGAGTTAAAGCTGTAATTAAATTTAAGCCTTTATATATTACAATTAACTTTAAAGGAACTTATAGGCAACGAATTATTAAATATTATTAAGCTTAATAACACGATATTATTAGCGCTTTTAAGAGTATAATCTTCTTAAATAATAAAAATAACCTGTTTTAAGAATAAATAATAGCTAGAACTAAATAGGTAAAGAACCCTAGTTAAGTAAGCTTCTTAAGTAAATAATAGCTTAATTAACCTAATCTTGTAAAAGTTAATTAATTTAGTATTTATTTATTATAATTAAAAAATTAACTTATTATAATAAAGCTTTAATAAGTATAATTAAGATTAATAGTTAAGGTATTAGCTAGTATAATACTTATCTCTTTAATTAACTTAATAAATAAAGCTTTATTAATAAGGTTAAAGTTATTAATTATTTTAAGAGCTATAAAGTTATATTAAATTTCTTTATAAAGCGTGAAATCTTTCTATTATTTCCCTAACCTAAATTTATTTTTCTACTAAACCTAGCTTTATTTATTAAGCTTAAGAAGCTAATTTAATGCGAATTTAAACCTTTAAAAACGCATAAAAAAAAGCGTAAAATTAAGAAAGATATTCTTAATAAAAAAGATTCTACTTTAATCCCTCTTATTCTTTATATTAACGTAATTAATTATCTTACAAATAGAATAGAAGAAAATTTTAAAAGAGTAATTATTAAGCTTAAATAGAATAAATTATTATAAAGCTACTATACTTTATAGCTTATTTAAGAGTTTTAATTACTTAAAATAGCTCTTATAAAGCTTATAAATAAAACCTTAACTTACTTAATATTATTATAAAATATAGTATGTAAATTACTTACGTAAATGTAATACTAAAGCTAATAAAACTTATTTATCTTATATATTTCCTTTATAATATTTAAGGTTTTAATAAAACGCTTTAAGTTAATTAAAACGTTTATATTAATAAGATAAGTATAATATCTAATAAAATAGAAGCTATATTACAGAAATAATTATATATTAATACTATTCTTAAGATAATTTATCTTCTTAGCATTTAATTATACCTTTAATAATAGCTTAGGGTTAATCTTAAAGTTAAAAGGCTTATTCTAAGCTAAGGTTTAATTAATTATAATATAATAACGTTTATAGACTTAATTAAAAGCTAATTAAGGTATAGGCTTATTTTAAAGTTATTAAAGACTAATATAAGTTAATTTCTAAAATAAACTAGAGTCTAGTACCTAAGCTTTAATACTAAGTATTCCTAGGCTTTTTAAAGGTCTTTAATTAAAGCGGGTACCTAAAATCTATTAATAAAGATTTATAAAGCCTAAAGTTATTCTATTATAACCCTAATAAACTATGAAACCAATTAAAATATTACTTTATAGAATTAAACTAAAGACATACCCAGAGCTCTTACGGATATAGTAAATACAAGTGTATTGTGTATTGTATTTTATATTGTATTGTATTTTCGTGTATTATATTTAAATACAATATATTACATTCTTAAAATACCTACTTACCTTCTTCTTATACCTATAGGTTATGCCTATTCAAGCTAGTATAGTCCCATCTTGTCTCTCGTGTAGTGTCGTTCGTAACAATTACGTTTAATAAGTTTATATTTTATAATTTACGCGTTAAAAGCTTAAAAGAGCTTTTAATAAAAGAGTTAATTACTTAAGTTAAGTTTATTTAAATTAATAATAAGCTAAATAAAAAGGTTTTTATAATAAACTTTATATAAAGAAGTAACTTTTTATAGGTAAATAATTAAGTATTATAAGTATTAATTAACGTTATATTATTATAAAAAGGAAAAGATATAATAAAAAAAAAGGAAAAAAAAAAGAAAGAAAGAGAAAAAGAAAGCGAAAATACTAGTATAAGATGAAGCCTATAATATTTAAATTTACTAAGTTTAAAATAATAACCTTAAATTATTTAAAGGTAAGAATATAGTATTTAATAATTATAATTAAATAGCTAAATAATTAAGGTTAAAGGGGATAAGTATATTATTAAATAAGCTATTAAAAGCGCTATTATAAGAGCTAAATAGGTTATTTAAAGCTGTAAGTTAAGTGCTAATCTAGTAAAAGTTAATTAATTTAGTATTTATTTATTATAATTAAATAACCCTAATAATAAGCGCACTTATAAAAAAAGCGCATACGATTCTCTCTTTTATAGCTAGACATAAACTTGTATATATACATTATCGGTACAATTAGTGCCCTCTAAAGTGTGACAGTTTACACCGACTGAGCAAACGAAACTAAAGCCCGAGCATGACGCAAGGAGAGAACCGCCCCCACCAGGCAGAGCAGGTATAATATGTTTCCCTGCAGATTGACAGCAATAAACCCTCACATTACTCCATACTATCAATATCTTGGGAGGCAGTGCACCACAACCGGAACTTTGAGGTGCGGCTGGTGCAGCATTCGGCTGGTTGCGCTTCACTCGCGGCAGGCAGTGGAGTTTGCCCGACGGAAATGCACTTCCAAACCAAGCAGGATGAAATTGTCACGAGAGCACACAGCCTTGTTCCTAGTGTTCCATAAGGCGGAACATGGAGGAGACGGACCAGGATGCCACCTCCAGCTACAGGACCGATGCCGTAAAGAGCAACTTTCTAGAACATGGCCCGTTGTGGGGCCTCTTCTCTCATTCGCCATTGGTGTGAGTTCAATCTAACATCGGGATTCCAGAGGTCGGTCTTCGCTTTTACACAAGCCAAGGCAAGCCAGCCCAACATAGCCCAAGGCTTTTCGCATGCCTTGCTAGAGCACGCGTTTGTGACTTGCTGGTCATGTGTGCCCTGAACTCAGCCGAGATTATTGAGACTCACTGTGTAGCCTGCTTGGGCATATTCTGCCAGGCAGGATATATAAGGATGTGACCGCCCCAGCCGGGCCTTTGTAAAACAGAGCACACAACGTTAATCTGGTCCAAACCGCTCTTACCAGAGATAAAACAGAAGAGAGTTCATCCAAAGAGTACGTTTCGTGAGTGCCTTTCATTTCTTGCCTCGCGTCCTATCTATATACACCTCGTGGCTCGTCGTCTTGCCGCCACGTACTCATCGCTCAGGTTCCAATCCTTCGTCTTCCTCCAGCTGACACTTGCAAAAGGCCGTTGCACCAAACACATTCATTCACAATGCTACGTTACAAGGTATCCGGGCCCGATGAGTACCTTGCCATCACGGGATGGCGCATCCGCACCGTCAAGATCACCAAGTCATGCCTGGTATGGCCGTTCCAGCGCTACACGCCGTTCAGCGTTCAGCCGCACGACTACGCCATGGACCTGCAGGCCATGACAAAGGAGAAGCTCCAGTTTGCGCTTCCCGTGGTCTTCACCGTCGGTCCGGATGTCAATGCCCGCGGCGCCAACTCCTCCTCGGAAGCAGAATGGGAAAACGAGGGAGCTGCCGGTCGTGAGGACAGTGGTGACGCGCTCATGAAGTATGCTATGCTGCTGGCGGGCTCCGATGACAAAAAGACCGACCACGGAGCCCACGTCGCCAGCATTGTCAAGGGAATTATTGAGGGCGAAACCCGCGTCCTGGTGTCGAGCATGACCATGGAGGAGATCTTTACTGAGCGGGAGATGTTCAAGAAGCGAATCTTTCGCAACATCCAGAGCGAGCTTGACCAGTTTGGTGTAAGTGCTATCTATCATTGAGGCCATTGAAAAATGGGAATGTAGCAAATACTGACGCGGTTTATACACTAATATATACTACCTTACGTTACAACAGCAAGCAAGTTCCAGCCCTGCTTCTGCCTTCATTGCCAATCTCTTATTAACCTATTTTTTACAGTGTCAAGGAGCTAAAGGATGCCCCCGGATCCGTCTACTTCGAGTCCCTCTCCCGCAAAGCGCACGAGGGCGCCACCAACCAGGCCAGAATCGACGTCGCGGAAGCGCAGCTCCGAGGCAACGTCGGCGAGGCCAAGCGCAGGGGCGAGCAGGACCGGGAAATCGCCAAGATCAACGCCGACACGGCCGTGCAGAAGACGGAGCGGGACATTGAGCGCGCCAAGGCCGAGGCCCGGCTCCAGACGCAGCAGACGCACCTCACGCGAGACGTCGACGTCGCGCGCGTCGAGGCGCAGCGCGCGCTCGAGTCCAAGGACGAGGACCTGAAGAAGGAAGTCGAGATTAAGCGGGCGGCGGCCGAGATGGAGCGCCTGCGCGCCAAGGACGTGGTCAAGGCCACCATCGCCCGCGAGAGCAAGCAGCAGGCCGCCGACGCCGCCACGTACGAAGTCACGGCCAACGCGCGCGCCAACCAGGAGGCGAACCAGCGCCTGGCCGACGCCGACGCCTACACGAGCCGCGTCGGGGCCGAGGCCGAAAACTACGCTGCGCAGCAGAAGGCCGCCGCCGACGCCAACAATAAACGCGTCGAGGCCGAGGCGGAGAAGTACGCCGCGCAGCAGTTCGCCGACGCCGACGCCTACAGGACGCGGGTCGAGGCCGAGGCCGAAAACTACGCCGCCCAGCAGAAGGCCGACGCCGACGCCAACAATAAACGCGTCGAGGCCGAGGCCGAAAACTACGCCGCCCAGCAGAGCGCCGACGCCAGCGTCATCCGTCAGCTCAAGGAGGCCGAGGGCATCTCCGCCATGGCCGACGCCTACGCCAAGCTGGCGGGCGCGTTTGGCGGGCCCGCCGGCCTCCTCCAGTACATGATGATCGAGAAGGGCACCTACGTCGAGCTGGCCAAGGCCAACGCCGAGGCCATCCGCGGCCTGCAGCCCAAGATCAGCGTCTGGAACACGGGGAGCAACAGCGCCGCCGGCGAGGCGGGGGGCGATCCCACATCCGCCATGCGCAACGTCTACCAGATGCTGCCGCCGCTGATGACCACCATCAACGAGCAGACGGGCATCACCCTGCCCGAGTGGCAGTTTGGCAAGCTCAACGCCGGCATGCAGGCCATGAACCAAAGCAATGTCAATGGCCAAAAGGCCACCAAGTAGCTTACTTGAAGCGCCGGAACAAATTCACGAACAAAAGGACCAGCCGACGCGGAAGCGGCTGCATGTACACTATGCTGATACCCCTGTCTTCCATTTTTTTTTTTTTTTTTTTTTTCATTTGTTTCCCCATCTTGATCCAAATAGATTTTCTCCCTAGTATAGCCATAAACCTAGCCAATCTACGTTGAAACCCCAGTCTACCATTTTCGTGTAACAACGCCGAGTCCCACGTGTACATGCCACGCAACACAAGCCCTAACCATCACCAACCTCGATAACCACCTTGCCGAAATGCTTCCCGTCGGCCAGATACCTCATGGCCTCCTTGGCGTCGGCAAAGGCAAAGACCCTGCTCACGACAGGCCTGATCTTCTTGGCCTCGTAAAAGCCCAGCATCTCCTCGAAGCGGTCCTTGCCGCCGTTGATGATGCCGCGCAGCGTCACGTTGCGCCGCAGAGCCAGCACGTTGACGTTCAGCCTCTGCAGCGGCGCCTTGGCCCCATCGCCGGGCTGGTCCTCGTCCGCCTTGCCGGATAGGTAGCCGATGCAGTTGATGACGCCGCCAAAGGCCACGCTCTCGAAGCTCTTGCGGAGGGTGCGCGCGCCGCCCGTCTCGAAGACGACGTCGGCGCCGCGGCCGCCCGTGGCCTCCATGACGGGCCCCTGCCACTCCCAGCACGTCTTGTAGTTGACGGTGTGGTCGGCGCCCAGCTCGTCCGCCGCGCGGCGCAGCTTGTCGTCGGACGACGACGTGATGATGGTCTTGTAGCCCGCCGCGTGGGCGGCCTGCAATCCCGCCACGGCCACGCCGCCCGTCCCCTGGAGCAGGACGAAGCGGGATCCCAGCTCCTCCCCGTCGGTGCCAATGTGCCGCCCCAGGGGCCGCATCCAGTTCAGGCTCGTCCACGAGGTCACGCCCGCGATGGGCAGGCAGCTCGCCTCCTCGTCCGTCAGGTACGCCGGCATGCGGACCAGCGAGACGGCCGGGAAGACGCGGTACTGCGCGAGCACGCCCGGCAGCGGCAGCCCGAGCCCGCTGGCCATGTCCTCCTCGCGCACGGCGCCCCGGAGATGGGTCTGCAGGAAGATGGACGCGACGCGGGCCCCCTTCCCGAGCAGCCCGGACCGGCTCTCGACGACGGTGCCGCACATGTCGGAGCACGGGACCAGGCGCTGCGTCGACTTGATCGACGGGTGGTGGTTGCACTCGCCGCTGCAGACTGGCGCGCGCGTCAAAAAGATGGTGTCAGTCAAGCCGGGGGGTTCACAGGAGGCTCACCCTCGGTGTCGCGGTAATTCAAGCTCACGGCGTGGATCTTGACCAGCACCTCGCCCTCCCCCGGGCGAGGCACATCCGCCTCCTCCATCTGCAGCTTGTCGATGCCGTCCAGCCCCGTGGTCCACTGCTTCATCTTGTCTGGTGCCATGGCCGCTGGCTCTCTATTTCCCGACATGGAGTTGCCCCCCAGGAATCCCGGGAGGAAGGACGCCAGTGGCATTGGCGTCTTAATTATATGCCTGCCGACCAAGACGGGAAAATCGGACCTCTCCACAAATTTGTTGCTCAACCGGGGCAATGTTGCGCCGCGTGTTGGAAATCGGAAAAAAGAAAAATCGTTTTAGGAAAAGCTGCCAAGATGATTTCTTCTATGGTGAAGATGAGTAGTTTGACACACACTGCGCTGGGTCAAGATGACGTGTTGGGGAGGCGGGCCCAATCACAGCCAGTCGTCAATGGGCATCGATAGGGGTGTGGAAGGCGTTTCAGGTTTCGCCTCGAGTACTCTGTCCTCGAGTACTCTGTATCAGTCCCCTCACAAAACAGATATGCTCAAGGTAACCTCGCTGCTTGACCCGTGAATGCTCTCGTCGATGGTCAAGACTCTAACCCAACATCCCATACCCATCCGAACTTTCCGGCTAAGCGGCAAGCAATGGGCCTCCAACCGTCACCGGGGTGCCAGGCACTACAAAGTCCATAACATGATTTATTTTGCAATACTCGAGAGACGATTCGTACACAGCTGCCGTGCTCCGCCACCCTCGTGCCGCTTCCCTCCCGTCTCTCGCTCCCTTGTCTCCCATCGCTGGCCATCAAGGCTCAATCCCAATCCGACAGTCTCACTCTCATTGTGTTTCCGAGAAACCCTTTGTATCACTTTGTTCCTGCTGTATTTCAACCAAGAAAAAAAATTCATACTCTTCCCTATTCACGTCCACCACTACAACCGCAGCACAGCCAAATTTCATGCCCACACTTCCAACTCTGATAAGAAAACCAAATATCCAACACAACAATGCAGCCTCCAACGCCACTCTACATTCAGGTGGCTTGCTTGTATGAGTGTGCACAGCATGTCTGCCATGCCGAAACACTCTGCTCCATCTCTCCTTCTGATCGCAGAATAAATGCAAAACCGATCCACTTGGAGCTCTGCAATCGACAAAGCCAGGGAGAAAAGCCACCTGCTGTAGGAGGCAAGTAATTGAACAACCAGAATATCCGAATATGAAGCACCACAATATTGTATACTGTTGTCAAGTGTAGCCGCATACTCGGTGATGTCGTATTATATCCTGCCATGGACCGTACTGAGCTGAGCCTATGGAGGGAAACCACAAACCCAACAACAAAAAACATGATCAACCAAATTTCAAACATGAATGCAGGAACACAAAGACTTTTTTTGTCGTTATTTTCTTCGCGTCATGCCAGTTTCCACCACTTATGCTGAACAAACAATCCTCTCCTCCGCTTCGTCACGCTAAACGCATTCTCGCCTGCAATCGTCCTCGCGTTCGAATCGCCTCCCCTACCGAAAACATGAAAGAGGCCTAAATGAAGTCTCACTCGTTGTCGTCACGGTCGTATCTGGACGCCAGACAGGGTATTATGGTGGGTATACTGTGATCGTGCTCGTCGCCGATCCAACTCCCTCCACTACTGGCGCGAGGCAGCGTTCGCCAGGAGCAGTTGGTGCGGCTGTCTAGAAGTGAAAGTCGTTAAAACGTCGTCATCATCAATGGTTTTGTGGTTTTATTCATAGATCTTGTCGGCAAAAGGTACAATGAACAAGCTTCAAGGTGTGTCTGGAAGCAAGTCGTCATCTTTCATCATGGTCGCCCATGTGTTGAATAATGCTGTATCCTGGTCCGTATCCCATACTCTCCTTGAGGCTTTGGCATCATCATCAGCGTCGATTCATGAGCAAATGGCTCGCACCACAATGCTTCGATCGACAATCTTCATCAAAAAAAAACATGGTGACTATATATATATGTAGCGTGTATGTCAGGGGGTTTTCCAAAAACGAGCAAACACAATTTCGCGTCAAGCGTCCGGAAAAAGAAATGTCAATATTACAAAATATCGTTAGCTTGAGAAGCCGCAAATCGGCTTAGCTTCTCCACATCGCTTCGTAATTGAGGGTTCGTGGAAAAGTCGTAGGCATTCGGGAAGGTATTTTAGTGATACCTAGAGGCACCAGTTGGATTAGCAGCCACACGGGCACCACTGTCTGATGAATCTACTGGCACGTATTAGCTTTGTACATCGACATAGACGCATCTCACCCCAGACGTACCGCTGCCTCGCTGCATATGTCCGTTAGCTCGACCACGGCCGCCAAAGCCACCTGTTGACTCCCACTCGGGACCACGAGGCTGCCTCTCAGGAGCGCCCTTACTGTTACTGGAGACACCAGGTCGCTGGCTGCCAATAGCCCCCGGCGCGTTCCTGCCCTGCGACTGTAGCGGGTTCGAGTCGTAAGGACTGAGGTTCAATCCGCTGAGACCCGCGATGAGACTGTCCCCCTTGGGGCCTGGTGTTCCTGGATTTCCAGGGTGGGCAGGCTGGTAGTCGCCGAAACGAGCGGTGGAGCCGGGAACCATGTTGTTCAGACCGCCACCTGGGGCGAGATAACTGGAGGACGCTTGCGAAGGGCTGGGCGTGAATGACCGCAGATCAGCAAAGCTCTTGGCTGCCCGTAAATTGTTAGGAACACCGCTACCGTCGGGGCTCCCTGGAAGCTCCAACGTGGGACCTTGCCGGCCCATCACATGCGAATAATTATTGGCTGCGGCTCGAGATTCCCGATCCGCCGCAAAATCAAATGTTGCGGCCCGGCTCAAGCCACGCTTATGCACGTCAAGGCTGTTGGCTGGAATATTTTGGATGTTTGCTGTGGGAGATGGCTGTTGTCGCTTCAACACCGTAATTTGGCGAGAGTCAGCTTCACCGATGGATTGATGCTCCAAGCCCATGTGGTGGGCTAAGATATGGATGGATCGCCGGTGTTCTGGGCTAATACCAGCAGGGAACACCAAAATCTCACGACTATCATCTCGTTTGAACATGACAAGCTCAGTGTAAAATTCGAGGCTCTGGGGGTCGTTCAAATCGACATCTCCTACAGACAAAGCAGGTTAGCAACAAAATGGTAATCATTGGGGAGCGGTGTGCCTGGTCTGGAATAAATCACGTACCCAGGTGAGATGACGGTGTTCGCTGTTGTGTCTGCGACATGCCACCCAGTGATTGAATCGAGCTCTGCTGATGAAGAATTGGAGCACGATGCTGCTCCTCGAGTTGTCCACGCCTCTCTCGTTTTTCTCGTTCAATGCGCTCTCGTTCGGCTTCTGGCAGCATTTTCTTGTACTCAACTCGAAGCTTTCGTCCGTGGACATCCATGCCGTTCATGGCTTCAATAACCACCCTGGTGTCCTCGGCAGACTGGAAGTTGGCAAAAGCGAGTCCGCGAAACACGCCATTGTCAAAGTGATAATTAAATGCGTATGGCTGAGGCAAATTCAAGTCTAGCATGATGGAGGCCAGGGTTTCCTTTCGAACAGCGAAGGGGATATTCTTGATAACAATTGCGGTAGGGATAAGCTGGTCGCCATCCGAGGCGGTCGAGCGCAGGTCTGGTGACGTGTGAGCCTGTCCATGATCAACACGAAGTCCACCATTGGGCAGTTGCCCCCCATTCAGACTACCCGGGAATGATGAGAGTCCGTTGTTGGGCATCCCCATGGCGCCTTGATCTGTCCAGGTCTACGCAGAGTCATATTAGCATACAAAACAGGAAATCGAGCTCCAAGACAGAAATCACGTACTTGGGGCAATGCAGCTCGTCGGTTGACACTCCGCTGACGATTTGGTCCATTCATGGCCCCGTTGACGGTAGCAACGCCGACAGAGTTGTAGTTCCATGATTGCCCATTATCCAGCATATAGCCACCAGGCATCCCACCATGGCCAGACATGCTGTCAATCGCCCTGGGATTGTATCCGCTGCTTATTCTATCCGAAGGATACAGGGCCGAAGAGCCGAGCGGGACATCAAATGGCCGCTGCGGTTGGCGAGGCAAAGTCAGACCGGAAGCGAAGCCAGCTCCATAGTTTTGTCGTGACGACGTCGGCGATCGGCTGGCAGGGCCTGTGTAGTCGAGGTAACCCATGTCGTGGGGTTGTTGGCTCATTGTTTTGGGTAAAGGCTGCGCCGAAGGCGATGGGTTGCTGCTGTTCTCTCACAACAGTTGGACGCAGTCGATATTGTTAGACTCGTTGTCTTGGAGACGCCGAAGGGTGATGCCAGCTCGACGAGACGTGACGAGCTTGCTCTGCGACGCTTGCCTCGAGATGGAGAAGGTATTCACAAACAATCAGAAATCTGTTACAAAGATGTTAAACGCAATGCATACACAGCCGCACACGAGATAAAAAAAATTTTGGTCAAAACAGCGTCAGTCTGCTGTTTCTCTCGAGGGATAGCAGCTCGATTCTTAAGTCATAAAAACGGCCAGTCTGAATCTCCGCCCAAACAAGAACACATAAAAGTTGAAAAGAAGGACGAGTCGACCGTCAGGCCAGGTGACTGGTGGTTGAGGGACAAAACTCGACGATTCTGAGAAGCGGTGGAGTCAAATTTGGGGCCGCTCTCGAAATATGCACGGCTTTTTGCGATGAATAGACGACGAGTGGACAGCAGGCAATAGTGCTAGCCGTTGGCAGGCAGTATTTCAGCCAGCAACGTTGACACGATTGAGGCCGGGTTAAGATTGAGGGTGCGAAATCCTCGTGGCGGCGTCGTGAGAGGCACAGAAACTGGAAGCAGGGCAAATGTGGTTTGCCGGGTCTAGGAAGTCAAGTGGTGGCGTAGCAGCTTGTTGGCCGCGGTGGCCGGGAGAGGCTGCCACAACAAGTCGAGAGAGGATCAGGTGTGATGGCTGCTGATCACGACTCGCGCTCGTATGCCGCAAACACACAGGACGAAACGAGATGCTGTGCGGTGGGCGTAGGCGTGGGCGTAGGCGTACGGAGGCGACGCGGGCACGAGGACGGGAAAGGAGCAAAGGATTAAAAGACAGGAGAGGAGGAGGAGGAGAAGGGGAAGCACCCAGCTAAGCTCTATGCAAAGTCCTCGAGGGGAAGATTGCAAGTTTGGGGGGTCACAAAATGAGACTCGGCGTGGTGGTCAAACAGAAAAAAAAAGACATGGATATGGGATGGGGCATTTTGGGGCAAACTCGAAGTTGGAACATTGGAAGTCGGGGGGCGGAAGCTGAGCCGGTGGGTGGTCTGGTCTGCTGTCGTGCTGGAGGCAACTGGAGACTCGCTGGGTGCTGGTCGCTGGGTGCCGCAGAACGGGGCATCTGGAGACGAGACTCGGGGGATCCACCCACAGTTTCTGCCTTTTATCACTCACTTTGGCTTGCATCAACCCAGCAACCTGTCGACGAGGACAACCAGGCTTGTACACAACAGACACGCTTGGCCGTTGTCGCACATGTCCATACCTTCTATTACGTCTAATCATTCTGAGGGCTCCTAAGCTGCATGTTTTCGTGTCTCCCGAAAAGGCCAAAGTCTCCAACAGAGTTTGAGAAAAAAAGAAAAAGGAAAAAAAAGGGCCTTGCCCAATGACGACTACTCGGACTATTCACTCTGGCTACAACACACGGTGCGCACCAACGCAAGCCCTAGGGGGCACAGGGTTCGCACTGTCGGACTCGGCGCTGGGCCAATGAGGAGTGGTATGTTCCTTGCCACCGCACTTGCCGTAAGCAGGTACATGCAGGCTACAGGCGAACAAAGAGGTCGGACCTGCTAAGCTTGCGTGGCAGCTCTGACCCAGGGGGGGGTGCAAAGGTCAACATTGAACTGGTTGGAGCTACAGTGCGGCACGCCCGCACGCTTGGACCCAAATATTGCGAGCTTCTGCTTCGCTTCCTCGTCACGACGTCAAGGCCGTTCTTGTGATTGTGCCGTCGTCACCAATATCTCCGGACCCAGCGCAGGTTTTGCAGGGTCTGTGACACCAGCACGATTCAGACCTCTAGCCGAGGCATGATGAAGGTGTGAAGCTGCATTGATGCATCACCATCCCATCAGGAAGTCATCAACTGCATGAGTGTCTCGAGACCACCGACGGGCTCAGCCGCTGTCCACAAGCAGCACTAGTCATTCTTAGCCGCCATCATCTAGACATCTGGACATCCGGGGCTTGGACCCTACCGAGTGAGTACCCTAGCATCAGATGGTTTAGACCCCGTCTTCTGCCGCTCTCCCGGTTACGCAACGCCACACCAGACCCAATTCTTGAGCGTCGATTTAGGTGAGGGTTTAGGGGGCCGGTAGCAGGTAGCAGCACTTGAGAGGCTATCATTACTATTATTCTTATTGTACGGCCATGGGGTGCAAGTGGTGTGATCTTGGGATGGTGCTGCAACACAATGCGGACCGTGTCTGTTTGGTGTGCTTGGTCTTGGATGCCTGCCGCCGCATTCTGCAGCCCAATGGCTCCAAAATTATGCTTGCTCTAAATCCTAATGCAGCAGAGAGTGTCTTCCAAGGTTCAGCACTAGCAGCATCTACCGAGCAGCGTCTTGTCTATACGGAGTATTGATGATATAAACAAAACAATCGCTGAGCGATCCGTGATCCTTAATCAGGACAATCCCAGAATGTATCGACTGCGCTGTTGGGCCGATGTCACATGTGCGGGCTGGCCTCTCCTTCGCTCCTGCCAGAAATGGGGCAAATTCCATATGTCGAGGAGAAATGATTCCACCTCAAACAAATGTATGCGTCGCCCTCCCTCCGTGCTCTGCGCTTGGCACAGATTTCACGACACTCTCGTTGTTGTTCTTGTCCCGTTTTGCTTTGCGCTATGAAGTGAAACTACCTACTCTGCACTCTCCTGAGTGCCAGGTGATCCGTGATCCCGGGGATCGACACCAGTCTCTTCTTGCCTTCAGATTGACAGTTTACGCCCCTCGCATGCGAGGCCACTCAAACCCCTTCCAGCTAGCGTATGTCCTTGCTTCAAGACCGTCTGCGACATTCGCCTGCCCGCTTGGCTTGCTTTGCTTTGATAGGGGTAGGTATCTGTTTCTTTGCTGGATAGAAATCGCATGAGCGACGGCGTTTGATCCCGCAAAAGTCTTGAAAACTTGAGACGGCAAGATAATAAATCATCTTGATGTCTAGTAAGCAATTATCCAGCCCTTGATGCCTGAGACCAGACACGTGCAATAACCAGGATTGACCACCTAGATCATTCGCTCTGTTCGTTTGTCTTGGGCAAATCTCGTTTGACACCACCGCTCTACGCCATGTCAAGTATTTGTACTCCGTACCACCTTCTGCTCCGTACAATACGGAGTGGTGCAACAAAGGACAATACGGGTGCCTGCGGTTCCGAGAAGCTTCTTCAGAAGAACTGTACTATCCAACTAGGATTCCGGCCTTTTTTTTTTTTTTTTTTTTTTTTTTTTTTTTTTTTTTTTTTTTTTTTTTTTTTTTTTTTTTTTTTTTTTTTTTTTTTTTTTTTAGTTTCTACTGCCGTGTGGGTCCAACCTCTATGCCGCGCCTGGCTGCGGAGTTTCGCCCTTCAAAACTATTCGCGACGGAAACTTGAGAAATCGCACCGAGTAATCCGTACCCAGCAGTTGACCAGCTTCTGATGGGATGGTGGTATTGTAACAGATTGATTATGCGGGTCTTGTTGAATGATAGGACAGGACGCTATAGCTTCTTGGCCTATCGCACTGAGTGTCTGACCTGAATGCTGCTTTACGGACCTACGGAAGAGTATTTCAAGATTTGGGGCGAACCTACGGCACGGGAGCAAATTAATTGTCTTTCGCCCCTGGCGCCGTTGGGTTGCGATGATTCTAATAATACAAAATGGGCTCACACGCTCCCGGGGATTGCACCAATATGGTCTGTTCTCACTCTATTAATTTCCTCACCTCTTTACTCAGCCCCTGAACAAGACATTTCACGTTGGCTGTGGGATGCGGCCCGCCGCCGGTTCCAATTTCAAGCTGGGCCATTGATTCGGAAGACCCTGGTTTTGTCAGGATGGCGGCCTCCTTGCCGGAACAAGACCGTTGTTGGGGCGCAATCCGGTCGTGCCTTGCCTGTCGATCTTCGGAACACAAAGCTCTTCCGCAATTTTCGCCCAAAGACCGGCTTACTCCTGCGCCATACCAAAGGTATGATGCCAGTATCGATGGAGTATGGGCAAGACATGCAGGGAGAGCTTGTTCCTCTTCTTTCGGGACACTTCATACTCCCGAAACGAAATGGAGTCATCGCCAAAATCCATTTCTGAACGAGTTGCGCCTAAGCAGCTTTCAACGAATCGGAACCGAACTCGGCACCACTGTTGCGTCGGGACAGGGGAGGGGATGGCCCGTTATTGGCGCCGAGTTACTTCAGCCCCTGTCCTGACCAAGGGACTGGCCCCCAAGCCCCGTTGTCGGTGAAGTGGCGACTCTGAAGCATACGCTGATTGACCGCCTGTGGCAGGTTATAACTATTTGGTCTTTGTGAGTTGTAGGCCAGCATACTCCATATGAAGCAAGAGAAGTCACTAGGGTATCTGAGTGTACATAATGACATGAGACCGCAGGCAGACCATAGTGGCCATGCAAAATAGCAACTCGACACTGTACCCTGGAGCTTAGCGATGAAGAATGCAAAGAGGGATACTACAACCCTCTCTGGGTTGGTAAAGACATTCATTGTACTCTGGTAACACAAATTGTGTGTCCCCCAAGCCCCAAGTCTTCTGCTTCCAGAGTATCATCAGACACTATTACTCATTATTCACCCCACCACATTGGTAAGCTGGATCAACTGCCGACTCATCACCAGACCTCCCCGTCCCCAGAGGTTCACACCACCACATAATCACGGGACATGGACAGACTGGTCCCTTTTTCTGCGAGGTGTTGCGCTTGTCTCATCTCTGCGGGAACAGGCCGTAACGCAATAGGGTTGCGGCTATCGCTGGGCGCTCAGTGGCAGCTATCTAATAAGTCGAAGTCTGCAACTACTACACAGCCTCCACCCATAAGGTTCCTCAACTCACCTTTTGTTTCGGCCAAGAAATCACTTGCTTGTGATGCCATAAATAGGGTTTCTATGGGACCTACTCTGTGCAACTCACTCTTCTTTTATTGATATGCTCGTATGTCGCGATGAGGATTGTACACAGCTTCTTGACACTTTTGCTACAGGCGACAAGGAATTTCACAGCCAACCAGTATTTGGTCATTGTTAGACTAGCTCTCGCCTGTTTGACGGAAATGGGTGTCGCTTCTCGCGCCAAAGGGCAAACGAGCAAAGACGAGACGAACCCGCAACTGCATTCGGGCGAGCCTCTGCAGAGGCCTGCTCTAAACTCACTGGTCGATCTGCATGTACAGGGTGATGCTCCATCTGCAGCTGCATCATGCATGTTCATATGCTGTGCATGTGTCCTTGGACTTTAACCCCCCCTGCGATCGGAGCACGGCCTTCGGTTATGCGACCGCCCAGATCGGGTTCCTGTGAACGATATCATCACCATTGGCTACTCTGTCCTACCATGCCGTGCTTCGAGAAAATTCAGATGGAACAAACGCGGCCGGGTTGCAACCAGATAGAGCCAAGTAATACAGACCGTGGACCGAGCTGGGGCCAAACGAGGAGGCGTTTCGTCCAGTCTTTCGCTTTTGACCTTGTTCGTTTGGCGTTGCATATAACCACGGGTTTCTAAAGGCACATCGCAGTTACCACGGGATATATTTATTAAAAGATAAAACTTGGAGCAATGCTGGACACCATGATGTATCGCAGGTGGGCATATCACCGTACTTGACAGCGTCGCAACTCATGGCGGCTTTTACCTAGGTACTTAGTACCTAGAAGTTTTATACGGGGCGGTTATCTAGGCTCATTGGCATTCCGCATTTTACATGGGTCGTTCAATACAAATTTACCGCTGACAGGCGTGAGTCGTGCCTTGTGTAATTCTGAACATTTTCGGCATGGCAACATGAAATAAATTAGAATTAACTTGATACAACTAATTTTCAGTCAACTTAACTCTTGCGCAACAATCATGTGTTTTGGACGGAGGTCGGCCCGTTTAGGGTAGCCCACGCTGAATGCACAGGGATAAATCGCCGCCACTCGCCTCGACTTCCTTGAACTCGGAAGAAAGCAATCAAGACACCGATCATAACAAAAGCCAGGCACTCAGCACATCGAATGTAGCCGGCTCGTCAAAGGCAAAAGCTCGTACTTTAGACTCGATATACTAAGTGTTGGCACGCTAACAATTCTCCTTTCTGATGAGGCCCGCTGCTAATCCAAAACCTCGATACTTCACCAGATATTCAAGCTATTGTCATTGCCTTGCGCCGCAAGGGTACGCTCTTTATTTAACCTTGATTTTCTCCTCGTAGTACGCATTTCAGGAACTTCCAAGCTTCTAAAGAACTCCACGCACGGCCGAGAGGGACTACGAAGGACGTCCTTGGCCGGCGGGGCGTTTGTCCCCGGCAGCTTGTGCCTCCGAGGCTCCTCAGCATCATAAGGCAGGACAGGCCGTCCCGTGGGCAAAGCGAATTGCAGACCACCTTGGCCCGTGAAGTACCTCTCTCTTTCCACTGTGTCACCAGTATTTAAAACATCTCTGGCGGCTTCCTTCAGGAGCCTGAAGGCTGAGGGCAGCCTCTCGTCCCCTCGCCTCCCCTCCTTGTTGTAGTACCTCTGCTGCACGGAGGGGTGGTTTCGCAAGCCCAGCTCGTTTGCTACCATGACGCGAATGATCCTACGAACAGCCATCAACTGAGCCTTTGGTGTGAAAATGCCCTTGCCTTCGGACACCCTGGGCACCCAGTCGCGCAAATGCAGAGAACTGGTGTAGTGGTCCCCGTCTCGCGCGCCGGGCTGCCTGCACAGTGAGAGGTTGCCGTCCAGGATTTCGGTCATGATGGCCTTGTCGTCTCCGGACGTCATCAGCCTGCCGACCTGATTTCTGAGCGCTTCCATGAGCCAGGCAACGCAGAGCAGCCCCGAGTCAGCCTCACAGGGCTGCCTCGTGACGCGCGGCATAAAGTACTGGAAACTATGCCGCTGGCCGAGGATATCCAACAACAGCACCCAGACCCGGATGGCCGACTTGAACCTCTGGAGCCTGGACTCGTCGTCTCCGCAGTCAAAGATGTACAGCTGCCCCTCCTGGCGGTCAAATATCGCCATGCCCCATTGCCGGCTGTCGTGCAGAACCGGCACGACGACCCAGCGCCTGGTCCGCAGTCTCCTCCTGCTCCAGTCCATGTCCTGCTGGTTGAAACTATCCTTGGGTGGTTTGCCAGTCTGTATATGCCGCCTCAGCTCCCGCGGCTTCCCGAATTCGTTGGGATTTAAACGGGACTCCAGAATGTTACCTGTAGCGTCTACAAGAAAGGGCGCGAAAAACGTGGTCGAATCAAACATCCCATAGGTGATGATGCGAATCAGCGCCGTCATCTCCACGGAATTTACGTGATTGCCGTTTTGAAGGGTTCCATGAAAGAAGTTGTGTGCGACGGCAAGATGTGCACTCCACTGACATCCGTCATACACGCCGTCTTTGTACGGCGGCATTGGATCCAGACGAGGGTAAGTCTCCTCCACGCTGTTGTAGAGCACATCAACGGCAGCCGGGTTTAGCCAGTCGATGTTAAGATTCAGTGCAGGCCGGGCTTGGCTTTTTTTCGCATCGTATTCCGATGGCCAGTAGGTCCGGGGCATGAACTGCGGCTGCTGCTCGTGGTCTTGGACATTTTCGTCTGGGAGCACAAAGCTTCCCTCGTCGAGGTTGGTTTTGCCTAGCGTGCCCACTGTGTCGGGACGATATAAATTAAACGGGTTGTCTGCCATTGATGGATTGAGTGCAAAACATGGGCGAGGCGCGCGGCATATGAATATTGGGGTTTTGTATTTGGTTCTGAGGAGCTCATCGCTGCTGGCCGGCTCTAGTTCCATATATTTCCTTCACGATGAGTTGAGTACACCACAATGATGTTCTTTGTGGATTGTGCGCAGGTGAAGCTGCGGTTGTATTTTTCTTTGTGCATGGTCTGTAGGTGTAAGAAGACGCGTAGTTCAAGGCAAAAGTCAAAGGAAGGGCAGGGGCATGTGAGTTTTCATAAGGGGGCATGGTTCTGGGGTAAAGAGTTTTGTTTATAAAGCCGGCTGTGCGATGAATGGCGCGAGAGACGTTGCAGAACAGCCCTGAGAAACTGTCATACCGTAGGTTAAGGGGACCCAAGGCAGAAAAAGACGAGGGATATATTGATGAAAGAGAACTGAACACGACGTTTATATGGAAGTGGTTCGTGTGGTGGTGGCAATTGTCCTTCTGCCATGCAGTGCTCTCCGATCCTATGTTGGCGCACAAAGGCTTAGGGACGTACTCGAATTAGTGCTTCGTCGAACAAAAGCGTCAAAGACTCATGGGCAGTTCAAACTCCAGTCGTCTTACGTTTGAGCCATCCAGAGTTCTTATGTTTGAAGGGAGCTTGCGTGAACAGTTCAAGATTGTCTCTATTCATCGAGATGGTTTGCCTTCATCTTGGAATAGGGCGAAATATTCTGCAGGCTGGTCCGCATCCGTGTTCAGAGAGTGTCGAATCCTTCTCTTTGTTCCGTGTTTGATGCATCTACATGGAGAGACTCGGCCAGTTTCTTTGCCAGTGTATTTGGGCAGGATTGCGTCGCCTTGACCATGGCGAACAGCCGGTACCTGGAGACGCGCACCCTCCATTTGTCGTTGGTGAGGCCTGGCCACATTTTGCGATGTCGCATGCTGGGCCATTGCTGGTGTTGAGAGTACAATACTACAGAGAGTACGTACCAGACGTAGTAGGGATAAAGCGCCACAGCGTGGCTGCGCACTTCCAGATTCAGCATCCAGGGGACGGGTAACCAGCCACAGCGGGACAATGCAGCTCCAGCTTCCGAGGCGTCTGACGGCAGCCGCCTGGGTTAGGTCTGGGGCAACCATCAACGACATGTCGCTGATGACGGCTTCGAGTCGTGTTGCTCAAGATGCCGATACCCGGTGAAGGGGCTGCTGTACGGACTTGCTCTGGACAGCTGCGGTAAGTCTGAAAACCACCCAAGCTGAATTACAACTCCGCAGCCATGGCATTTTCAGCACGGATACTTGGCGCAACGCATCATGGAGCGTCACCGTGGCGCTTGATGCTTGCTGCTTGATGCCTCTTGTCGCTCCTTGGGCATCGCCCTCTTCGCCTCCAGCTTCGCAGCTCCGATGAGCCAACTTCGGGTCGCCATGGCGAGCGCGCCGTCTGAAGAGAAACGACAGCTACGATAATCAAACAATTTGCTACGAACGACTACTAGTTACCTTGCTATCCGCCTCTCGCCTCGCCTGGAGCTGCGCTTCTGGCTCGAGTGCCCCGCCGGTTTCATGTCATGTGATAAGGTCAGATGGCCGGAACGGAACTTACTCCGGATGCGGGCGACCAGACTGTCAACAAATTCGAAAAGCGGAGACTCCCCTCTATGCTGCGCCTGATTGGCCTGTTGACGGCAGATAGCGGGCGACAGGGCGACAGGGCAACCAGAGCACGATGGTCCAGTCTGGCAACATGAAGCTGTACTTGGTGGCTGACAGTGGCTAACCGTGGCTAGTATGGCGCCTGGCGGCCCACCCATCCACCACCTGCAGCCAGAGCTTCCTTGACTTGCGCGCTGGAGAGCCAAGTCCACGGGTCAACTGCTAGGGGCTGCTCGGGGCTGCTGGGCGCCGTCGACTGGCCGGCCTGGCCCAATGCTAGGCTGCGGCGCGCCACAGTGACGCCTGTCGCTCCGCAGACAACAACAAAACATTTGCTCCCCTCGCACTGCTCTCGGGACGAAGCACAGCACGGAAGCTCGCAGTTCGCAGCTCCATGTCACCACCACTCGTCCGCCCAGCCTAAATTTCTGCCGCTCCGCCAGACCGCACCCCCCCAATCTTCGCTCAAACATCCCACCATCCTTATCCCGCCGACGCGTTATTTGCTCGCAGAACCGCACAGCTTTCGTCGCAAATTCCAAATCCACCACCCTTCAATCCTTTTTCGACCCATCTCAGCAACATGCCCGGCGGCAAGGGAAAGTCTTCGGGGGGTAAGAGCTCTGGGGGCAAGACCAGCGTTGAGGGTCATAAGAAGCAACAGAGCCACTCCGCTCGTGCTGGTCTTCAGGTAAGAAAAAAACCGAACACTATCTTCATGTGCCATTTGTAAATTGCGATCCGAGAATGGCGCCTCTTCCTTCGATGTCGGTTTAACCTCTTCGCGTGCGCATCTCGGGAACTGGTCCCCCCTTCGAACGCCAACATCGTCTCTCAACTCGTGGCCCCTTCGACGTGACCGCCACTTGGCCACGGCATCTCGACGCGTCACTCGATCGACTCTCTGCTCCTGGCAACGCCCGACGACTGCCATCATCGCCTTGCGCCTCGGCCTCTATCGACTGCTCCACGTATCACGAGCGAAGGAGAGCTTGCGCGACGGATGTGTTTCATGCCAACTCTCGCGTGTTGCGCTGGCGGGAAGTCAAGCCGACGACGAAATGCGAAATGAGCACCTGGACCTGTCATTCAGCCTTGTCGCCTCCCCGGATCGCGAAACCATCATGGCATCAATGGCGCTGTGACTAACCGAATTCTCCTAGTTCCCCTGCGGCCGTGTCAAGCGTTTCCTCAAGCAGAACACCCAGAACAAGATGCGTGTTGGTGCCAAAGCTGCTGTCTACGTTACCGCTGTTCTCGAATATCTGACTGCCGAAGTCCTTGAATTGGCAGGTGTAAGTGCCCCCGTTGACTCACGCTGATGCGTCGTGGGCATGGGCTGTTGCTGCCTGCCCAATTTGACAACCAGCTACTAACCCATTTTTATTTAGAATGCCGCCAAGGACCTCAAGGTCAAGCGTATCACTCCTCGCCACCTGCAGCTCGCCATCCGTGGTGACGAAGAGTTGGACACGCTGATCCGTGCCACCATCGCCTTTGGTGGTGTCTTGCCACACATCAACCGCGCCCTGCTACTCAAGGTGGAGCAGAAAAAGAAGAAGGCCCAGGCTATCGAGGCATAAGCGTCCTCGTTCGCCAAGTCTGTCATTTCTGTCTTTGTGTGCTCACCCGCGGGTTCTTGCCCGGCTTTGACGCTTCGGTTGTTGGGCTGTGTGATACTTTATTACGGTTTACGGTTAGGGAACTGTGCGGAATTGTTCGTTCTTGAATTTTCGAAGATGGGCGCCATCCAAGACTGGGAGGAGGGAGACTATAAAGGAGATCATGTTTGGACCCTTTTCCCCCCCTGGAGGTGGCCTCTTAAAAAAAAAATGCGGCTTCGCTGCGGAGGGAGGGGAATTTGGCCGAGGCGAACTTTTTACACCTGCAAATAGCGGACCTGAGAACACCAGCGTGGAATATCTTTTGTCAAGATGTTTGATGTCGCCAAACTCGTCTGTCGGGACAGGTCATGTACAACTAGTAGTATAGTTTGTGGTTAGGGGCGATGAATACGATATCGGGCTGGTGCGACGGCACTGACAACTCTACTCAGTATGTTTTGCCTCGCGATACCGTGACGTCTATATCATCTGCTGTTTCTACATCATCCGCATCATGTCCATACCATCTGTATTGTCTCGACGGAACCATAAGCTTACAACGCCCCTACATGTCTACCACCATCTGGGCTTCCGAACCCATCCCTCCCGTTTCCCGTCCTTCATACGCGCATCCCGCATCCTCAGTTTCCGCCTCTCCGCCGTTTGCGAGGTCGATCGCGGCTACGCTTCCCTATGGCGTAGCAATACCTGGGGTACGCGCACTCCAAGAAGCAATTATGCCCTGCACGCGGAGAATCCTCCTCAAATGTCCGACTTGTCCTTTTCACGCCCCCTCTAGTCTCTTCCGTCTCTTTAGTTCCGTCGTCCGGCGTCCCCTGCTGCGCGCCTTTCCGCATCTTCCTCGCCCAGGCCCTCTGATCGATCCAGCCTATATAGTCGAAGAGAAACAGATTTTCTGCTTCTGCATGCCTGTTTCTTACACCCCTGCGATTTCTCTTGCCCACCCTATTTCCGCATTCTAAACAGCGCACTGTCGCGGAGATATGGTAGACCATCTTGCACCGGGTGCATCTCCATGTCCAGGGCCGGGGCTTCCGTGGCGGGTCCCCTGGTATTGTGGACGACGAGGATGAGCTGCAGGTGCTGGAGGTTGAGGACCTGCGCTCCGGGGAGGGAGGAGATGTGGTTTGGGGACACATTGGTGCTTGCTGGCGGGTTGTGTGGTTTGTTTTTGGCTCAGGATGCGAAACAGGGTTTTGACATGTTGGTGAAACCGTTGGAGGGTGTGAGTAGTAGTTCTTGCATGATAGCTTGCTTCTTTTTTTTTTTTTTTTTTTTTTTAGGGTGGGTTTTGGGCTGTGAAGAAAACATGTCTCCATGTTGGGTTTTGAATCGTGCATAGCTCATGTGAGGGAGGGCGTGTGTAGGGCGAGGCGAGTTCAAGGTGCGTCTTTGAGTTTCTCTGTTTGTTTGTTTGTTGGGTGGGCTGTGGTTGTGCTTGGGTAAGTGATATGTTCTGTTGACGTTGCGCCCGAGGGCGATTTCGCCTTTGGCGGTGAACGTGGCACACGGCTGCTTTGTCGTCTCTAAGCATCTGGCAGTTTATTGACTGCACGGGCCTGTAGCAGATTCTTGATATTCATGCTGGTGGCAGGCAGGGAAATAAACTGTGCCTCGGTACGGTGAAGTTGCGCTTTATCCTTCTCACCGTGGCTGTTGAAACTTGACCGTCTGGGGCTATCAAGTACAGTCATGTTCGAACCTGGGGTAATGTTTTCGACCATGTACTTGGATGCATATCCTGCGGCGCGGTGTTGCCCAGGTCAAGTCTCACCCTCACTACATACTGTATGTCAGCTGGATATGAGGTTGTCTGCCCCCCAACTCGCCTTTAAACTCAGCTCTTGCACGATTTTTGCATCTTGTCGCCTTTACTGAGCGGATAGAAGCGTCACTTTCGCCATCGGCCCAGTTCCAAGCGCACGAATATATAGAGGGCAGTGGATGGACACTCCCGACGCACGAGCAAATCGATATTGGCAACAAAGGAGCTGATTCTTCGCCTTCAGATGATCATGGCACAGCAATTGCCGCTAGACCAGACAATATAGACACTTCACCGTCGACAAAGGCCTTGCCGACTCTGGCGCCGAACAAAGCCAAGCCAATCTCGCGCTGCAGAGTCCTCCATCACACACCTCCCACACCCGAGTTGAACATCGCATAGCTCTTCTCACTGCCTCGGCTCTACAGGTCTTCATAAACTTCTACGAAAATGTCGTCGGCTTCGCTTCTACCAAAACGAGCGAAAAGAATATTTGCTTCTAGCGCGCCCGTCGAGTATATAGTGTCCTCTCCCCCGGGCCTTCGAGTCACGGTAGAAGTCCAAATCTCATCGCTTGAGAAGTTATTCGCAAAGTGATACCTGATTTTCCTGTCAAACTTGCCGATTCCGTACGATATACAACATTTGGACCGTCATAGAGCTAGGCGAGACCCTTCTTTGGACATAATCAGCCCCGGAACGACCTGCGACGTCGGCGATAGCTGGAACACAACTCCCTGCTTCCACCAAACAGCAAGCCTTTGGCACTGCAGTATTTGCTGGCAGTCATGGCGCAACTCGCGGCCAGCTTGGGTCGCCATCCCTGCAACAACTGCAAAGACGACAGTGATAATTGGGTGGGCTGCGCGATTTCGCCAGCGTCCAAGGCATGCATAAACTGCGTGAAGCGTAACATGGGGAACCACTGTGTACTTGGGGAGGAGATTCAGGTGGCAGGTTGGCAGGATGCTATGCACAATGATGGTGAGTATGGGACAAACTTGGATGTCGTGATGTCAGCTAATGGTGTGGTTTGCCAGTCAATCGAGTTGTCGACTCGCAGGGCCGTCAAGATGCCGGTATGGCCACCAACGTTCAGTCCACTGCCGCATCTGGCGTTCCCATTAGCGGCGACACTGCCAAGAATGATGCTGGGGGACAGAAGGTACGGGACCAAGGGCGTCACCAGACCGATGAGAAAGATGAGTTCCATGCCGAGTTCAACACTCCCATTGTTGATGTCATCGACAGGCGGCTTGCGGACCCGAAGCTCATGACTGTTGAGCAGATGGAGAAGGAGTTTGAAGGATTTTGAGACTGATTGTGGCCAAGGCCGTATAAGGAGCATAGAGATACTAGGATATGGAGTTTGAGTGTGTTGAGAGACAGATAGAAAATACACAAGTATTGGTATTGGACAAGAAGGGCATATCTCCCCGTTGGTGTCTGCCGGAAGAAAGAGGAAAACGTCATGCATAGCAGAAACTATCCGTTGAAACGCCCGTTTCGCCGTCCATTTTCATACCGCAATGCTCATGAAATTGAAGTGAACCATTCGAACAAGCCATCAGTTCGTAGTACTTGGTCACGAGGCGAGTGATGGCCAAGTCTGCCGGGGTGTGCGTGTATATAGAGCAACGATGCGGAAAGGTCCTACAGCATTTCCTCGTATGCCACTTGATGCCCGGATATCCTGGGTGGTAGTACGTGACTGGAATGATCGTGTCTCGTCCGCAGCCGTCTTGTTTGGAAGCATCCTTTGTTTATTGCTCGTCGGCTTTGAATTTCCATCGAATCTAAACCTAGGGCTGTCAAATCGATTTACGTACCTGCTCATGCCACACTTGCCATTGCAAGAGGGCGAGCCCCTTTGGCCCGGCACTACAAGTGTGGTCCTCTTGAAACGCAATGCCAGTATGCACCCTTGATTGATGCTGCAATGATACGAAGTCGGGAGAGCTGGGCGAGCGGCGTCCTGCGAAAAGCCGTCGGTTTCCCTGTCCGCAGATAGCCTTGTGAACCAGACCACGACTTCCCGCGCCCTCTTTGCCATCCGACATCTCACAAGGGAGACAGGTTCTGCAATCTGCTGTTCTTGCTATTGGCGCTCGAGCTACATGGCCTTTACGGAATATATTGGCTTATCTGTTACACCTACCACTTTGGGCGGTCGGCGGGCCACGCCTTGCGAACGGACGAGGCAACCACCCAGTTTTGCGCCACTCGTATTGACCGGTTTTGTCGGGGAGGTATTTGTCTTTGTCGCCAAGCCAGTGGATCGAGAGATAACAGACTGACCGCTAGTGCAGCATTTGGCGTTGGGGTACCACGGCAAACGCAAAGTGTCTGTACCGTGTATGCCGTACACGATATGGGGCTCGCGGGTTAGTTGTCCTTGTCCAGGGTACATTTCGAAGTCGAAACCTACTCTGTAGAAGTCCCTTCTTTATCGCATATTATCATCGGACATTTGCATTTGGGGTAGTTTGAAGGCAAAGCCAAGCCCGGGGCCGGCCTCCCGCATGTGGCTTGCTGCCAGGAACAAGGAACATTGTTCTGCGCAGGTGCCCAATCGCCAAGCTGCCCACAAGCCATCTGTCATACGACGACGGAGCGGGGAAGCTGCTACTCTGGGGGATGAGGTTTGTGCGTTGACGTAATTCTACACCGGGAGGAGGCAGACAGAGCGAAGCCGGAGGCGCAATGTGTCAATTGCGGCGGATTGCCACGGCACGGAGCACAGCCGCCGTTGATTGAGACGGGACGCGTAGACTGAATCATGGACAAGGACCCGAAAGAGCACACATCTGCACTTGCACCGGCCTTGTGTGTGTTTTGCGGGCAGTCGGCCGTGCCGATTGCCGATCTGCAGCCCGCGCCGGTGGCATTGCACTGCACAATGTTGCATCTGGGCCTTGTTAGCACACCGTGATGCATTGCATTCCTCCACGCCCTACAACCTGCCGCTTGCCACCGGTCCTGAATCGGACAGCCCCCGTGGGGAGGGGGAAAGCAGCAAGGTCCTTTATTAAGCTTGCGTCCGAGACGGATACATCGGACTCTGTCAAGCACGGCCGCACAACGTCGGCTCCACTTCCCGCGCACTTCCTCTTTGGGAAGGTGAATGTCCGTTCGTCCATGTTACCATCCTGTTCAGGCTGGGCGTCTGCCAGCTGACCCGGCGGCCTTTTGCCTGTCCAAGGGAACAAAAGAAACAAGTTGCTTTGCCATGTGGAATCTCCAAGATCCATCGGGCCCCGACTCGTGCTTTACATGTCTGAGCTGCTTGAGTTTTGCGGGATCGACGTGCGAACCACCGTCTACGGACTGGGTCAACCCCAACGAACCCGAACAACCGGGAGAGCATGCGCAAGGACAAGCAAAAGAGCCCTGGATGAATTCGACGCCACCAAGTATCCTCGGGATGCAGTGTGCCGCAGTCCGGTCCGTCGCTCTCTGTATTCAGAAGGTCCCTTGGACGATCCCCGCCGGGCCCATGATCCCATATCATGGCACCGAGTCAATTTGCTATTACTGAGCACGGCGTGTAAGTTGCATGCCAAGAGGGTGCTCTGACCCCCCAGAGAAACCATATAAAGGCATGTGTCCAGCTCGTCAGTATCTCTGTAGTAGTTTGCTCAGCTCCTGGGAGGCTCGCTCGTAGGCAAGCAAAAAAAGAAAAGCCAGAATTCGCTTCTGAGACAGGGCGTGTCTTGGCCTCCGCGATGCAAATCTCCCTCGTCGCCGCTGCCCTTGCGGCCCTCGCGGCGCCGGCATGTGTAAACGCCCTCCGTGCCAGCCAGGAACTGGGCTACATCCCGCCCATTCCAGAAGACGCCTACTACGGGCGAAACGGGCTCGCGAGGCGCGCGACCAACACAAACATCAGGGCCGCCACGTTCCAGCAGCTCATCGACCACAAGAACCCGTCCCTGGGCACCTTTACCCAGCGGTACTGGTACAACGCCGAGTTCTACCGCGGGCCCGGCTCGCCCATCGTCCTCAACGCCCCCGGCGAGTACGCCACCGACAACTTCGTCGGGTACACGACCAACCTGACGCTGCCGGGCGTCTTTGCCCAGACCAACGGCGGCGCGGCCCTGATCCTCGAGCACCGCTACTGGGGCCAGAGCTCGCCGTACCCGAGCCTCACCACCGAGACGCTGCAGTACCTCACGCTCGACCAGTCCATCCAGGACCTCGTCTACTTTGCAAACAACGTCCGGCTCCCCTTTGACCCGGACGGCTCCTCCAGGCCCGACAAGGCGCCCTGGGTGCTCTCGGGCTGCTCGTACCCGGGCGCCCTGACGGCGTGGACGCACCACCTCGCGCCGGGCACCTTTTGGGCGTACCACTGCTCGAGCGCCGTCGTCGAGGCCGTCGGCGACTACTGGCAGTACTTTGCCCCGATCGACTCGGCCCTGCCCAGGAACTGCAGCGCCGACCTGAAGAGGATCAACGCCCACTTCCAGAGGGTGCTGACCAACGGGACCGCCGAGGCCAAGGACAAGCTCAAGAGCAGGTTTGGCTTTGACGGCATCGCCGACGACGACTTTGTGAGCGCCATCGACGGCAGCCTGGGCAACTGGCAGGGGCAGCAGTTCTACAGCGGCTACACGGACACCTTTAAGATGTGCGACTACATGGAGGTGCGTGTTCGTCGTGCACACTCTGTATCACGCAAGCCAGACTAACACGGGGCAAGACCGGAAGCGCAAACGGCACCATTCCCGGCCCAGAGGGCGTAGGACTATGCCAGAGCCTCAAGGGCCTCGCGAGGTTCTGGAGGGAATACGTCCTCCCCGGCCCCGGATGTAAGTGACGCCAGCCTGAACGTGCGCGTACAAACGTCCCTGACAAAACCCGACAGCTTGCTCCGGCAACGGAGCGTGGAAGGGCTACCCCCCCCTGGCGTGCTACGACTCTCACAACGCCTCGTACCCCGTCTACACGGACACGACGGTCGAGAACCCCTACAACCGGCAGTGGATGTGGTTCCTCTGCAACGAGGCGTGCGTCTCCTGCTCCCTCCCCCCGTCAATGTACTCTCCACTGACGTGAAAACCCCAACTAGCTTCGAGTACTGGCAGGTGGGATCGCCCAAGTCGACGGTCGGATACCCGGCGCCGCTGTACAACATTGACTACTGGCGCGCCCAGTGTCCCATCTACTTCCCCGAGGTCAACGGGCACCGGGTCGGCATGGTCAGGGGCGTGCGCGCCGAGGACGTCAACCGGCGCACGGGCGGCTGGGACAACGTCAACACCACGCGGCTGATCTGGATCAACGGCGAGTACGACCCGTGGCGCTCGGCGTCTGTCGAGTCCGACTTTCGCCCGGGCGGCCCCTTTGGCGGCGACGACGAGCGCCCGTCCTACGTCATCCCCAAGGCGGCGCACTGCAACGACATGATTATCCGGAACGCCGATGCCAACCCCGGCGCGAGGAAGGTGATTGATGCCGAGGTCAAGAAGATGAAGGAATGGGTTGATGCGTTCTACAAGAAGAGGCTGTAGAATGATGTTTGTTTTGGGTATTACCTCGAGGGTTTTGGATAGAGAGAGGGGGGAGGGGGGTTGGATCTGAATATAAAATAGAGCATTTTCAATACAAGAACATAGTCAGCATCTTCGTTTGCTGTTTTCTGCCTGCCTGGTTGACTTGTGTTAAGCGTTTTGATACATCTTGCCAGATGCTGTGGCGGGCATTTGGCATTGACGGTTGAGATGGAGATCTGCATGTCAATTTGGTACCCGCGAAGAGGAAACTATGCGCCCGGAGTCATAGTAAGCGACAATATGTTGATATTTTCGAGACTTTGCAGCACAGCCGAACCGACTCGCCTCTGTATAGAATGGATACTCAATGGACCACAGATACGGCGGTCCCTCTTGAAGCAGCCGAACGAGCCTGGGGCACAACTTTGCAGCAAATAAACGGCGGCAATGCAGAGATGTACTATCAATACGATACCATCTGCAAGGCGATTTGTCCCCTTCAGCCCATCACATCACGCCCCAATACCGCGACTAAACAACACCCGGCAAAACCGCCCACCTCTTGCGAATCTTGTCCTCTCCAAATTTCTCAACATACCACTTCTTCCCCTTGACGGCCCGCGGCAGCATGGCAAAGACCTCATTCACCAAAAACGTCCACGCGGGCACGCACCCCCAGCCAGCAGCCACCAGGAACCCAAACCACTCCACCCACTCGCACAAGTAGTGCGCATAAAGGACGTGCTTGAACAGCCCAGCCTGCGGGATCTGGTAGTGCTTCTCGACGCTGGCGGCGCCCCCGCCGCCGCCCTGCTGGTCCAGCACCCGCTGCCGGCGGCGCCTCTCGGCGCGCCGAATCTCCCGCAGCTCCTCGTCGTGGAAGAAGTTTGCCGCCAGGCCGACGTAGAAGATGCCGATGCCGACGCAGAACTGGGCGACGGAGGAGCGCGCGGCCCAGGCCTCGGCGGTGACGGGCCCGTAGGCGGCGAGCCAGGCGCCGATGCTGACGCCGTTGAGGACCTGGAAGCCCGCCGCCATGAGGGCGACGAGCACGTGGATCGGCGACATGGACGGCTGGATGAAGGGGAACACGACGGCCCTGTAGACGTAGTGGATGACCTAGGGAGGGCAAGTTAGTCCCGCAAAAGACTTTTGGGGAGACGAGAAAGGCGTACGAATAGGCCGGCCAGCACGCGGTTCTGCCACGGCAGGTCGTCGATGCCGTGCATCCGCGGCAGCGTGTTCATCAGGTACAGCACCGTCGTGAACCCGGGCATCTCCATGAGCATCCAGGCCACGCGGCCGGGCAGGTTGAACGCGCTGTGCACCGACGTCTTGCCCATGCCGTACCACGAGATGAAGAGCTGCATGAGCGAGAGCTACAGGGCCCGCGTTAGCTTTCTTCGCAGGCGTCATTGACCTTGACGGGCGCGACGTACAGCGGGGTAGAGTATCTGGAAGGTGAGCACCATCGTCTCCCAGTTCTCCCTCGTGGGAGGGTACCAGCCCTCTACAATGGCCATGGCGGCTCTCGACTCCTGATGGTTGGTGCGTCGAACCAAGATGCGATGGCGTGTGGCGCGCGACTTTACCAAGTACAAAAGACGGCTTGCCGCGAGCCCATTTACTAGCAGTTGAGAAAAGGGAGAAGCGTCCTGGGCATGAGGTGGGTGGTCCAGCCGTAAATGAAGGTCGCGATCATGCTCGCGGTGGTTTTTGACGAAGCGCTTGCACATGGAAAGCAGGTGACCCCTGTTGACGCACGAGAAGTGGGTCGGGAGTGGTGCCTGTGGCGTTCGTTCTTGTCCCACGACTTGTCATCATCCCCGCACAAAGTAGTTACTTGACATCTTCAATCCATGGTTTCCTCCCATTTCCCATCACGGGCCGCATAGTGACATCCCCGTGAAGCAGTGAAACATCTTGGTGGAGTTCGCGGGACGCGGGGCGCGAATATCCGATCGATGGCTGCTTCGCTGGTGGCTGTCCACCCCGCCATCAAATCACGAAGCGTCTGGACCACGTCTTGGCCCCGATCGGAGGCTTGCATGAGCATGCAGATTGGGTCCCATTTGGAGTTGCAAGTCCGAAGACCATGTTCAGGACGTTTGCTGCAGACCAGAGGGTTAGGGTTCACGTGAATAGCACTTGGTGTGACAGAGGAAGTTCCCGGTCAAGCAGCATTTATTTCCTTCCTGTTCCTTCTAATTAAGAGCATTTTCATGCCCAAGAGCACCTAATTACGTCCCATTTCGTGTAATTGTGAGCATGCCATGTCGAGCAGCATTTTACTGATAGGGCAGAGTCCATGCCCCGTCAAAAATGCCAAAGCCAGCAATCCCCAAGCACGTCAGCACGTCACTGCAAGTAACATCATTCGCCCTGTATCCCATACGCACGGTCCATCACGAGAGGGAAAAAGACGTCATTATGATCGGATGGCTCTTTGACAACTACCCAAACATTGCCAACCAGCACAATCAGGCAAATGTAATATACACCATACGCCACGCAACAATCATCAATGCCTCATCAATCATAACATGCCGACACCATTCCCACAACCCAAAACCCGCTACATCACCACACAATCCTTGTCTCGCCCGCCATGGCCCGCAGCCTGCCGCCTCGAGTTAGATGACATCGACGCCCGCTGGCTGTGCGAACTCGGAACAAAATTCATAGGCGGGTCGACTGATATCAATGGCTGACCCGGCGACGGCGTCGTGTACGTCGAGGGTCGCCGCTGGCCTGGAAGCCCCTGGACCTGACTAGCAGCAGCTGATGGGTCGATGCTTGCTGATGTCTGCCTTGATAATGTCGTGCTACTCTGAGAGTGGCTCGGGTGTCCCACTGGCGGGATATAAGCGGCATCTTGCGCTGCCTGCTCATAGGAAGGCGGCGCGTCGTCTCCATTTGATTCTGCTCGACGAGTCACGCCGGGCCGGCGGGGCGGCACAAGCGGCCTGACGACTTGTTGTACTGATGCCTGCTGCTGCAGGGGCTGCGAGACGCCAGATTGTTGCGAGTGCGATGTGCTTGTTGTAACCGGGATGCTGTAGGTATTCGAGCTACGCCTTTCAGGGGCTATACCACTGTTTCCGGGAGTAGAAGCGCGCCTTGGGTCTCGGTTGACGGGGGTAGGCCGGTGGCCCTGCTGTTCAATGTATTGCTCAGACAGGACCCTCTCCTGCTGACGGCGAGCTTGTTCCTGGCGATGTTTTTGGTCCTCTTCCTCTTGAAGTTGCAAAGCAAGCGCCAAATCTCGATCTTCTTGCTCGTGCTGCGAGACTGCCGGCCCTGTCTCTTCATCCTGTTGTCTTCCCTTGCCGCGCTGGTTTTGTACGGTTGTCCATTGGCCGCCGTGGTCAGTCATCGAGCTGTTCAGGATGGTGCTTGGCCCGGCCTCATTGGTCAGTCCGATGAGACGATAATCCCCAGACAAATACTCGGTTCGTTCTCCATTGACATCTACGAGGCTTTCCCAGACAACTTCATCGTGGGTCCGGTAGCCGGCGTCAGTCACAAGACTGAGCAGCTGCAGCGTTTGCGGGTGACAATACAAGGTGCTGAAGTGATCGTTTCGAAAAAGAATGGCGAATGTGCCCGGGCGCATCGCCTTTCCAATGACTTCGATGCCCCACGCCGTGAGTTGAGTAGCTGATGTGCTTAAAAACATTTTGATAGTCATAATGTCTTGGTATAGCTGCTGTTCATCCTCAGTAAGCCCATCAGGCGAAGAAAGCTTTTCCTCGAGCTCTTCTTCGCGGAACAATAAGTTCTGCACGTCTTCATATGAGCCAGCTTGCCGTTCCAGGGCGCTGTACGCAGGGTCCGTTTGTGATGGCAGCCAACCGTGTATTAGTGGAATAGAGAATGCCGCGTAGAGGCTCATCTCCATCGTGTTCTCAAACGTCCCCGGGATGAGATTTCCTCGCTCAGTGGGGTGCAGATGTGTCAGAGAAGTCCGCTTATAGGCATCGACCATTTCCGGAGTCGGCACAAACCGAGGATTGACATTCATGCCGGTGTGCAAGCTTTGCAAGAAAGCATACAGGTCGGACACGTCGGGCAGGGCATCTTCCGAGTTTGTACGTCGTGGCGACATGAGCTCGTCAAAGACTGCGTCAAGAAGCAAATTCAGGCTGATTTGCTCCCGCGACCTGAGAACCTGCACAAGGGTGGTGTCGGGATTGTCGGCCGGTGTTGTCAGGGTCAAGGCGTTGACCAGTGCAACCAGGGGGCAAGGGCCGTTCTCGTTCTGGATTAATATGGGCGACGTTCGAGGATTCTGTTGGGACTTTGTATCGTGCCATCGGATCTTCTTCACTTGGTAAGTCTCGGCTTTGGCGTCAACAGGCGGTCGCGAGGGAACCCATTTCTGTTGTAGGCCAGTGGATCTTGCTGGCAAAGGCGGCCTCTCATCTGCACTCTCATCCTCTTTTGCTTGTTTCGGCGGGGTCGAGCATGATTCGGCGTCAATGAGGCTCCAATCGTCGAGCAGGGCGGCGTTGCCAGGCGCCGAGACTTGTTGCACCTTGGCCTTTCCCTTGTCAAATGCACCGAGATCGTCCCAGACATTCTGATGCAGTAGTTCGTCGGCCACGGCAGAGGGCGGCGACTCGATGACAATTTTGTCACCGTTGTTGACAAGCTCATCCTTCCAGGCGGGTCCAACATCATCGTCGTCTGATTTTAACGATATCAACGCTGGAGACTTGGGAGGCATGTTTGGCTGCGAGACGGATGGCTTGTCGTCATTAGCCGCCCACGGATCACTCTCGATGCCGTCAGCTGTGACAGGTCGCGGCTGCGGGATAGGATGACCCATGTGAGTCTTTTGACTGTCGACGACCTGCTCCCAGGGATTGGCATCTTGGCTGGCGTCGTTGACGCTCAGCTTGGAGAAGGCTTCGGTCGGCATAGCCTCAGGTGGCTGAGGCACTGGTTTCCGCTTCAGAAACGGGTTCGTAGCGGCTCTATTACCGCCGGGTCTGAGTATATCTGGAATCTGCCCT